ATTAAATCCCAATTAATTCCCAATTAAACATCCAATTTTCCAACCCCAATTCCCAATATCCAGTTTTGTGGGAAAATGGCGGCACCGACCAATCAGAGCGCAGGGTTTGAGGGAGGGGCGGGGCTGTGATGATTGACAGGTGGCTCGGCCAATGGGATTACAGAGGGGTGTGGTCATGGGCGGGGCTGTGAGTGGCCATTTTGGCTGGGGAGGGGGCGTGGTCATCATAAAGGGGGTGTGGTCATGAATATTAATGAGATTTCAAAGGGGCGTGGTCGGCGTTTGGGGAAGGGGAGGATTCCCAATTAAATCCCAGCCCAATTATTAATTAAAAACCAATTAAATACCAGTCCAATTCCCAATTAAATCACAATTAATTCCCAATTAAATGTCCAATTTTCCAACCCCAATTCCCAATTAAATCCCAATTAATTCCCAATTAAACATCCAATTTTCCAACCCCAATTCCCAATTAAATCCCAATTAATTCCCAATTAAACATCCAATTTTCCAACCCCAATTCCCAATTAAATCCCAATTAATTCCCAATTAAACATCCAATTTTCCAACCCCAATTCCCAATTAAATCCCAATTAATTCCCAATTAAACATCCAATTTTCCAACCCCAATTCCCAATTAAATCCCAATTAATTCCCAATTAAACATCCAATTTTCCAACCCCAATTCCCAATTAAATCCCAATTAATTCCCAATTAAACATCCAATTTTCCAACCCCAATTCCCAATTAAATCCCAATTAATTAAATCCCAATCCAATTCCCAATTCCCAATTAAACCCCAGTCCAATCCCAATTAAATCTCAATTAAATACCAAATCAATCCAAATTAATTCCCAATTAAATCCCATTTTTTCAACCTCAATTCCCATTTAAACCCCAATTAAATCCCAATTAATTAAATCCCAATTAAATCCCAGTTCCATCCCCATTCATTCCCAATTAAACCCCAATTTTCCGACCCCAATTCCCAATTAAATCCCCATTAATTAAATCCCAATTAAATTCCAGCCCAATTCCCAATAAAATCCCAATTAAATCCCAGTTCCATCCCAATTAATTCCTAATTAATTTCCAATTAAATCCCAGCCCAATTCCCAATTAGTTCCCAAGTGAACCCCAATTTTCCAACCCCAATTCCCAATTAAATCCCAATTAATTAAATCCCAATTAAACCCCAGTTCCATCCTCATTTATTCCCAATTAAATCCCACTTAATTCCCAATTAACCCCCAATTTTCCAGCCCCAATTAAATCCCAATTAATTCCCAATTAAATCCCAGTCCAATTCCCAATTAATTTCCAATTAATTTCCAATTAATTCCCAATTAAACCCAATTAACCCCCAATTTTCCAGCCCCAATTCCCAATTAAGTCCCAATTAATTAAATCCCAATCCAATCCCCATTAATTCCCAATTAAACCAAATTAACCCCCAATTTTCCAGCCCCAATTCCCAATTAAGTCCCAATTAATTAAATCCCAATCCAATCCCCATTAATTCCCAATTAAACCAAATTAACCCCCAATTTTCCAGCCCCAATTCCCAATTAAGTCCCAATTAATTAAATCCCAATCCAATCCCCATTAATTCCCAATTAAACCAAATTAACCCCCAATTTTCCAGCCCCAATTCCCAATTAAGTCCCAATTAATTAAATCCCAATCCAATCCCCATTAATTCCCAATTAAACCAAATTAACCCCCAATTTTCCAGCCCCAATTCCCAATTAAATCCCAATTAATTAAATCCCAATCCAATCCCCATTAATTCCCAATTAAACCCCAGGCCAACCCCAATTAAACCCCAATTAAACCCCAATTAATTCCCAATTAAATCCCAATCCAACCCCAATTAATTCCCAATTAAATCCTAGTTCCATCCCAATTAAACCCTAATTAATTCCCAATTAAACCCCAATTTCCCCACCCCAATTCCCAATTAAATCCCAATTAAATCAATCCCAATTAAATTCCCAGCCCAATTCCGAATTAAATCCCAATTAAACCCCAATTAAATCTCAATTAATTCCCAATTAAATCCCAATCTAATTCCCAATTGAACCCTAATCAAATCCCAATTTTTTAACCGCAATTCCCAATTAAATCCCAATTAATTAAATTTGGGGCTTCTTTGGGGGGGATCCCAAATTTTTTTTCTGAAATTCCCAAAATTCCCTTGAGTATCCCAAAATTATCCCAGAATTCCAGCTGGGATTCCCCAAATTCTCAAAAATTATCCCAAAATTCCTCCTGAAATTCCCAAACTTCCCTCCAGGATTCCCAAAATTATCCCAAAATTCCTGCTGGGATTCCCCAAATTCTCAAAAATTATCCCAAAATTCCTCCTGAAATTCCCTCCAGGATTCCCAAAATTATCCCAAAATTATGTCAGAATTCGTCCTGAAATTGCCAAAATTATCCCAAAATTCCGTCAAGGATTCCCAAAATTCCCAAAATTCCCGGAGCTTTTCCCGCATTTTTCGGGGAAAAAATCGCCCAAAATTCGCCGTTTTCGCCTCGTTTTTGGGGGGGAAGGAGAAAAAATCGGGGAGTTTTGGGGCTTCTTTGGGGGGGATCCCAAATTTTTTTTCTGAAATTCCCAAAATTCCCTTGAGTATCCCAAAATTATCCCAGAATTCCAGCTGGGATTCCCCAAATTCTCAAAAATTATCCCAAAATTCCTCCTGAAATTCCCAAACTTCCCTCCAGGATTCCCAAAATTATCCCAAAATTATCCCAAAATTCCTGCTGGGGTTACCAAAATTATCCCAAAATTATCCCAAAAGGATCCCAAAATTCCCTCCAGGATTCCCAAAATTCCTACAGAATTCCCAAAAGTATCTCAAAATTGTCCCAAAATTCCCTCCAGGATTCCCAAAATTCCCCAAATTATCCCAAAATTATCTCAAAATTATCCCAAAATTCCAACCAGGATCCCAAAATTATCTCAAAATCCTGCTGGGATTCCCAAAATTCCTCCAGAATTCCCAAAATTATCTCAAAATTTCTCCTGAAATTCCCAAAATTCCCTCCAGGATTCCCCAAATTATCCCAAAATTCTCTCCAGGATCCCCAAATTCCCAAAATTATCCCAAAATTCTCTCCAGGATTCCCAAAAATCCACGAATTCCCGCAGCTTTTCCCGCATTTTTCGGGGAAAAAATCGCCCAAAATTTGCCGCTTTTGCCTCGTTTTGGGGGGGAAAGGAGAAAAAATTGGGGAGTTTTGGGGCTTCTTTGGGGAGGATCCCAAAATTCCTCCCGAAATTCCCTTCAGGATCCCAAAATTATCCCAAAATTCCTCCTGAAATTCCCAAAATTCCATCCAGGATTCCCTAAATTATCCCAAAATTCCAGCTGGGATTCCCAAAATTATTCCAAAATTCCCCCAATTATCCCAAAATTATCTCAAAATTGTCCCAAAATTATCCCAGAATTCCAGCTGGGATTCCCAAAATTATTCCAAAATTCCCCCAATTATCCCAAAATTATCTCAAAATTGTCCCAAAATTATCCCAGAATTCCAGCTGGGATTCCCAAAATTCCCTCCAGGATCCCCAAATTCCCAAAATTTCCCCAAAATTCCTCCAGGATCCCAAAATGATCCCAAAATTCCCAAAAATCCCACTGCTTTTCCCGCTTTTTTCGGGGAAAAAAATCGTCCAAAATTCGCCGTTTTCCCCTCGTTTTTTGGGGGAAGAAGGAGAAAAATCCCCAAATTTCCCCAGAATCCCCAAAATTCCTCCCAAAATCATCCCAAAATTCCCTCAGAATCCCAAAGTTCTCCCATCCCCAAAAGTTGGAAATTTGGGGCCTTTTAAACGTTTTTTTGGATGAAAAAAATCTGAATTTTTGAGGAAAAAAATCTGAATTTTGGGGGGAAAAAAACCTGAATTTTGGGGGAAAAGATCGAGTTTCTTGTGGAAAAATTTTGATTTTTTGGGTGAAAAAAAATTGAATTTTTGGGAGAAAAACCTGAATTTTTTGGGGAAAAAATTTCATTTTGGGGGGGGAAAAAAATCGAGTTTTTTGTGTCAAATTTTTGATTTTTTGGGTGAAAAAAATTAAATTTTTAGTGGGAAAAAACCCCTTTTTTTTGCATTTCCCAATTTTTTCATTTTTCCCCAAAATTTGGAGCCTTTTAAAAAATTTTTTGGGGATTTTTTTTTTTGCCCGGGGGGTCTCGGGGGGGTCTTAAAGTGCGACGAGGGCCGGGAGCTCCCGGGGGTACCGTGACATCCAGTGCTGCCCCACCATTCCCAAAATTCCCAACATTTCCCCAAAATTTCCCCAAAATTTCCCAAATTTCCCAAAATTCTGGAATTTTTCGGTGGGAAAAGCCCAAATTTGGAAGTGCTTCGGGGCGGATCCTCGGAGGTTTGGGATTTTTTGGGGATTTTTGGGAATTTTTTTAGGAATTTTTTGGGGAATTTTTTGGGAATTTTTGGGATTTTTTGGGGATTTTTTTTTGGATTTTTGGGGGATTTTTTGGGGGAATTTTTGGGATTTTGGGGTCTGGGGGTTCTGAGGAGCCCCTGGTGGTCTCAGGCGGCTTCTGGTGGCCTTGGGGCCACCTCGGATGGAGCTTGGACTGTGCTGGGCCACCTCGGATGGAGCCTGGGCCACCTTGGGCCACCTCGGATGGAGCCTGGGCCACCTTGGGCCACCTCGGATGGAGCCTGGGCCACCTTGGGCCACCTCGGATGGAGCCTGGGCCACCTCGGAATGATCTTGGGCCACCTTGGATGGAGCCTGGGCCACCTCAGAAGAACCTTGGAATCTTCTGGAATGGACCTTGGGCCACCTCGGAAGGATCTGGGGCCACCTTGGACCTTCTGGAATGGAGCTTGGGCCACCTCAGATGGAGCCTGGGCCACCTCGGAAGGACCCGGGGCAACCTTGGATGGAGCTTGGGCCACTTCGGATGGAGCCTGGGCCACCTTGGACCTTCTGAAATTAAACTTGGGCAACCTTGGGTGGATCTTGGGCCACCTTGGATCTCCTGGAATGGAGCCTGGGCCACCTTGGATGGAGCCTGGGCCACCTTGGATGGAGCCTGGGCCACCTCAGAAGAACCTTGGAATCTTCTGGAATGGACCTTGGGCCACCTCGGATGGATCTTGGGCCACCTCGGAAGGACCTGGGGCCACCTTGGACCTTCTGGAATGGAGCTTGGGCCACCTCAGATGGAGCCTGGGCCACCTCGGAAGGACCCGGGGCAACCTTGGATGGAGCTTGGGCCACTTCGGATGGAGCCTGGGCCACCTTGGACCTTCTGAAATTAAACTTGGGCAACCTTGGGTGGATCTTGGGCCACCTTGGATCTCCTGGAATGGAGCCTGGGCCACCTTGGATGGAGCTTGGGCCACCTTGGATGGAGCTTGGGCCACCTTGGATGGAGCTTGGGCCACCTTGGATGACGTTGGCTGGACCTTTAACCACCTTGGACCACCGTGAATGACCTTTAGACCACCTTGAATGACCCTTGGACACCTGGAATGATCCTTGGACCACCTGGAATGACCCTCAGGCCACTGTGGACCACCTTGGATGACACTTGGACACCTTGGATGACCCTTGGACCACCATGAATGACTCTGAGGCCACTGTGGACCACCTTGGATGACCCTCAGGCCGCTGTGGACCATCTAGAATGACCATTGGACCACCTTGGATGACCCTTGGACCACCTTAAATGACCCTTGGACCACCTCGGACCACCTCGAATGACCATTGGACCACCTTTTTCCATTTTTTGCCCATTCTGAATCCAATTTCTGCCAAATTTTCTGATTTTTTCAGGGATTTTTTTCATTATTAATTTTTGTTTATTTTTTTGGGCTCCGAGGGATCCCCAAACCCCAAAAATCCACCAATTTTCCCCAAAATCCCATTTTTTTCCCATTTTTTCCCCATTTTTTGGGGCAAAACGGCTCCAAATTCCCATTTTTGGGTGAATTTTCCTTCATTTTTCCCCTCCCGGCAACAAAATTCCCTCCAAAGGCTCCGGAGGCAGAAAAATTAAATTTTTTTAGGGGAAAAAAAAGCAAATTTTGGAAAAAAAAGTGATTTTTTAATGGGGAAATTTTTCAATTTTTGGGGGGTAAAAATCTGAATTTTTGGGTGAAAAAATTTGAATTTTTGAGGAAAAAAAAATCTGATTTTTTTGGAGAAAAAACGTATTTTTTGGGGAAAAAAAATTCAATTTTGAGGAGTAAAAAATTTGAGTTTTTTGTGGAAAATTTTTGATTTTTTGGGTGAAAAAAAGTAATTTTTTAGGGAAAAAAAAACAGATTTTTTTTGCATTTCTCCAATTTTTTCATTTTTCCCCAAAAGTTGGAAATTTGGGGCCTTTTAAACGTTTTTTTGGATGAAAAAAATCTGAATTTTTGAGGAAAAAAATCTGAATTTTGGGGGGAAAAAAACCTGAATTTTGGGGGAAAAGATCGAGTTTCTTGTGGAAAAATTTTGATTTTTTGGGTGAAAAAAAATTGAATTTTTGGGAGAAAAACCTGAATTTTTTGGGGAAAAAATTTCATTTTGGGGGGGGAAAAAAATCGAGTTTTTTGTGTCAAATTTTTGATTTTTTGGGTGAAAAAAATTAAATTTTTAGTGGGAAAAAACCCCTTTTTTTTGCATTTCCCAATTTTTTCATTTTTCCCCAAAATTTGGAGCCTTTTAAAAAATTTTTTGGGGATTTTTTTTTTTGCCCGGGGGGTCTCGGGGGGGTCTTAAAGTGCGACGAGGGCCGGGAGCTCCCGGGGGTACCGTGACATCCAGTGCCGCCCCACCATTCCCAAAATTCCCAAAATTTCCCAAAATTTCCCCAAAATTTCCCAAATTTCCTAAAATTCTGGAATTTTTCGGCGGGAAAAGCCCAAATTTGGAAGTGCTTCGGAGCGGATCCTCGGAGGTTTGGGGGATTTGGGGATTTTTTGGGGATTTTTGGGAATTTTTTTAGGAATTTTTTGGGGAATTTTTTGGGAATTTTTGGGATTTTTTGGGGATTTTTTTTTGGATTTTTGGGGGATTTTTTGGGGGAATTTTTGGGATTTTGGGGTCTGGGGGTTCTGAGGAGCCCCTGGTGGTCTCAGGCGGCTTCTGGTGGCCTTGGGGCCACCTCGGATGGAGCTTGGACTGTGCTGGGCCACCTCGGATGGAGCCTGGGCCACCTTGGGCCACCTCGGATGGAGCTTGGACCTTCTGGGATGGAGCCTGGGCCACCTTGGGCCACCTCGGATGGAGCTTGGACCTTCTGGGATGGAGCCTGGGCCACCTTGGGCCACCTTGGATGGACCCTGGGCCACCTCAGATGGACCCTGGGCCAACTTGGATCTTGAGCAACCTCAGAAGAACCTTGGGGCCACCTTGGATGGAGCTGGGTGTGCTGGGCCACCTCGGATGGAGCCTGGGCCACCTTGGGCCACCTTGGATGGACCCTGGGCCACCTCAGATGGACCCTGGGCCAACTTGGATCTTGAGCAACCTCAGAAGAACCTTGGGGCCACCTTGGATGGAGCTGGGGCCACCTCGGAAGGACCCAGGGCCACCTTGGATCTTCTGGAATGGACCTTGGGGCCACCTTGGACCTTCTGGAATGGAGCTTGGGCCACCTTGGATGGAGCCTGGGCCACCTTGGATGGAGCTTGGGCCACCTTGGATGGAGCCTGGGCCACCTTGGATGGAGCCTGGGCCACCTTGGATGGAGCCTGGGCCACCTTGGATGGAGCCTGGGCCACCTTGGATGGAGCCTGGGCCACCTTGGATGGAGCCTGGGCCACCTTGGATGGAGCCTGGGCCACCTTGGATGGAGCGGCTTCTGGTGGCCTTGGGGCCACCTCGGATGGAGCTTGGACTGTGCTGGGCCACCTCGGATGGAGCCTGGGCCACCTTGGGCCACCTCGGATGGAGCCTGGGCCACCTCGGAATGATCTTGGGCCACCTTGGATGGAGCCTGGGCCACCTCAGAAGAACCTTGGAATCTTCTGGAATGGACCTTGGGCCACCTCGGATGGATCTTGGGCCACCTCGGAAGGACCTGGGGCCACCTTGGACCTTCTGGAATGGAGCTTGGGCCACCTCAGATGGAGCCTGGGCCACCTCGGAAGGACCCGGGGCAACCTTGGATGGAGCTTGGGCCACTTCGGATGGAGCCTGGGCCACCTTGGACCTTCTGAAATTAAACTTGGGCAACCTTGGGTGGATCTTGGGCCACCTTGGATCTCCTGGAATGGAGCCTGGGCCACCTTGGATGACGTTGGCTGGACCTTCAACCACCTTGGGCCACCTTGGATGGAATTTGGGCAAACTTGGATCTTCTGGGATGGAGCCTGGGCCACCTCGGATGGACCCTGGGCCACCTTGGATGGAGCTTGGGCCACCTTGGATGACGTTGGCTGGACCTTTAACCACCTTGGACCACCGTGAATGACCTTTATGGAGCTTGGGCCACCTTGGATGATGTTGGCTGGACCTTCAACCACCTTGGACCACCTTGGACCACCGTGAATGACCTTTAGACCACCTTGAATGACCCTTGGACACCTGGAATGATCCTTGGACCACCTGGAATGATCCTTGGACCACCTGGAATGACCCTCAGGCCACTGTGGACCACCTTGGATGACACTTGGACACCTTGGATGACCCTTGGACCACCATGAATGACTCTGAGGCCACTGTGGACCACCTTGGATGACACTTGGACCACCTGGAATGACCCTCAGGCCACCCTGGCCCACCTCCAATGTCCCTCAGGCCACATTATACCACCTTGGATGACCCTTGGACACCTTGGATGAACCTTGGACCACCATGAATGACTCTGAGGCCACTGTGGACCACCTTGGATGACCCTCAGGCCGCTGTGGACCATCTAGAATGACCATTGGACCACCTTGGATGACCCTTGGACCACCTTAAATGACCCTTGGACCACCTCGGACAAACCTCAGGCCGCCTTGGACCACCTCGAATGACCATTGGACCACCATGAATGACCCTCAGGCCACCATGGACCACCTCAAATGACCATTGGACCACCTCGAATGACCCTCAGGCCAACTTGGACCACCTTGGATGACCCTTGGCCCACCCTGGATGACCCTTGGACCACCTCCAATGTCCCTCAGGCCACCTTGGACCACCTTGGATGACCATTGGACCACCTTGGATGACCATCGGACCACCTCAAATAACCCTCAGGCCACCTTGGACCACCTCAAATGACCCTTGGACCACCTTGGACCACCTTGGATAACCATTGGACCACCTCAGATGACCCTCAGGCCACTGTGGACCACCTTGAGTGACCATTGGACCACCTTGAATGACCATCGGACCACCTCAAATGACCCTCAGGCCACCTTGGATGACCCTTGGACCACCTTGGACCACTCCAGCCCACCTCAGATGACCCTCAGGCCACTGTGGACCACCTTGAATGACCCTTGGACCACCTCGAATGACCCTCAGGCCACCTTGGATGACCATTGGACCACTCCAACCCACCCTGAATGTCCCTCAGGCCACTGTGGACCACCTTGAGTGACCATTGGACCACCTTGGACCACCCTGAATGACCCTTGGACCACCTCGAATGTCCCTCAGGCCACCATGAACCACCCTAAATGACCCTTGGACCACCTCGAATGACCCTTGGACCACCTCGAATGTCCCTCAGGCCACCTTGGACCACCTTGAATGACCATTGGCCCACCTCGGATGACCCTCAGGCCACCTTGGACCACCTCGAATGACCATTGGACCACCTCGAATGACCCTTGGACCACCTTGAATGTCCCTCAGGCCACCTTGGACCACCTTAAATGACCCTTGGACCACCGTGAATGACCATCGGCCCACCTCGAATGACCACTGGACCACCTCGAATGTCCCTCAGGCCACCTTGGCCCACCTCGAATGACCATTGGACCACCTCGGATGACCCTTGGACCACCGTGAATGACCATCGGCCCACCTCGAATGACCACTGGACCACCTCGAATGTCCCTCAGGCCACCTTGGACCACCTTGAATGACCCTTGGACCACCTCAGATGACCCTTGGACCACGTTGGATGACCACCAGCCCACCTCGAACGACCCTCAGGCCACCGCACGGCCGACCCTCACCCTCTTCCAGCCCCTCCCCGGCGGCGGACGCATCCATCCGTCCGTCCGTCCGTCCGTGTCCGTCCGGCCTGGCCAAAGTCTGGACAAACGTCCCCGGCAACGTCCGAGCCACCCCCCCCACAACACGGCGTCCGGCCGGACGTCCCAGCGGTCACTCCCCAGGCCACCCCTCAGGGCTCCAGCGGCTCCGGCGGCGGCGACGGCGTCCGAGGAGGCGACGGCGGCAGGGCCGGGAAGGACGCGGCGCCGGCCAGAGCGGGGCCGGGCGAGCCGGGCGTGTCCGGCGGCGGCCGGAGCGAGAAGAAGAAGGGGCACTGGTGGATGAAGAGTTCGATGATTGTCTGGTAGGTCCTGGTGGCCGTCAGCGCGTCCATGGTGCTGAAGTCCGGCCGCATCAGCGTGGGCCAGAAGCAGATGGACAGGTTCTCGCTGGTCATCAGGTTGACGCGGTGCTGCTGGCTGACCCTGGGGTGGACAATGGTGGAGTGACCACTCGGTGGTCAGCAGACCCCAAAAAACCTCAAATCATCCGAAATTTCCCCCAAAAAATCCCTCTGGAGAAGTTCCTGGTGACCATCAGGTTCCTGCTGACCATCATGGTCACCCTGGGGTGGACAAGGGCGGAGTGACCACTCGGTGGTCAGCAGACCCCAAAAAACCTCAAATCACCTAAAATTTCCCACCAAAAATCCCCCTGGAGAAGTTCTCACTGACCACCAGGTTCCTGCTGACCACCAGGCTGACCCTGGGGTGGACAACGACAGAGTGACCACTCGGTGGTCAGCAGACCCCAAAAAACCTCAAAATATCAAAAATTCCCATAAAAATTGCCCCAAAAATGACCCCAAAGTTCCCCTGGGGAGGTTCTTGGTGACCACCAGGTTCCTGCTGACCATCATGGTCACCATGGGGTGGACAACACCAGAGTGACCACTCGGTGGTCAGCAGAACCCAAAAAACCTCAAATCACCCAAAAATTCCCATAAAAATCACACCAAAAATCACACCAAAAATGACCCAGGACAGGTTCTTGGTGACCACCAGGTTCCTGCTGACCATCATGGTCACCATGGGGTGGACAACACCAGAGTGACCACTCGGTGGTCAGCAGAACCCAAAAAACCTCAAATCACCCAAAAATTCCCATAAAAATCACACCAAAAATCACACCAAAAATGACCCAGGACAGGTTCTTGGTGACCATCAGGTTCCTGAGGTGCTGCTGGCTGACCCTGGGGTGGACAATGGCAGAGTGACCACTTGGTGGTCAGCAGACCCCCAGCAGACCCCAAAAAACCTCAAATCACCCGAAATTTCCCCCCAAAAATCCCCCTGGAAAAGTTCCTGGTGACCACCAGGTTCCTGCTGACCATCATGGTCACCCTGGGGTGCACAATGGCAGAGTGACCACTCAGTGGTCAGCAGACACCAAAACACCTCCAAAATACCAAAACTTCCCGTAAAAATCGCCCCAAAAATGACCCAAAATCCCCCAGGAAAGGTTCTTGGTGACCATCAGGTTCCTGAGGTGCTGCTGGCTGACCCTGGAGTGGACAATGGAAGAGTGACCACTCGGTGGTCAGCAGACACCAAAAAACCTCAAATCACCCAAAAATTCCCCCCAAAATTGCCCCAAAAATCCCTCTGGAGAAGTTCCTGGTGACCATCAGGTTCCTGCTGACCACCAGGCTGACCCTGGGGTGGACAATGGCGGAGTGACCACTCGGTGGTCAGCAGACACCAAAAAACCTCCAAAATACCAAAAATTCCCACTAAAATCGCCCCAAAATTTGCTCCAAAATTCCTCAAAAAATTTGGAAAAATTACGAAAAATTCTATTAAAAAATTCCTGGAAATTCTCCTGAAATTAAAGGGAAAATCACCAAAAATTGCCAAAACAATCACCAAAAATGGCCCAAAACTCCACAAAATTTTGCAAAAATTCCCCAAAAAATTCCCAAAAATTCCCAAAAATCCTATTTTAAAACATCCCTGGAAATTGTCCTGAAATTAAAGGAAAAATCCCAGAAAATTCACAAAAAATAACAAAAAATCCCCCCAAAACCCCCAAAATTTTGCAGAATTTCTCCCAAAATTTCCCCCAAAAATTCCAATAAAATTCCCAAAAATCCTATTTTAAAAATCCCTGAAAATTCTCCAGAAATTAACTGAAAATTCACAAAAAATCACCAAAACCACTCAGTGGTCAGCAGACACCAAAACACCTCCAAAATACCCAAAATTCCCACTAAAATCGCCCCAAAATTTGCTCCAAAATTCCTCAAAAATTCGGAAAAATGACAAAAAACTCTATTAAAAAATTCCTGGAAATTCTCCTGAAATCAAAGGAAAAATCACAAAAAATTGCCAAAACAATCACCAAAAATGGCCCAAAACTCCACAAAATTTTGCAAAAATTCCCCAAAAATGCCTCAAAAAATTCCCAAAAATTCCCCCAAAAATTCCCCAAATTTCTATTTGAACATCCCTGAAAATTCTTTCAAAATTAAAGGAAAAATCCCAGAAAAATTCACAAAAAATCACCAAAAAATCGCCCAAAACCCCCAAAATTTTACAAAAATTCTCCCAAAATTCCCCAAAAAATTCCCAAAAAATTCCCAAAAAGTCCAATAAAATTCCCAAAAATTCTATTTTAAAAAATTCTTGGAAATTCTTTCAAAATTAAAGGAAAAATCACAGAAAATTCACGAAAAATCACCAAAAAATCACCAAAAATCCTCCTAAAAACCCCCAAAATTTTGCAAAAAATTCTCAAAAAATTAAAAAATAATTTAAAAAAAAATTCCAAAAAAGTCTCAAAAAATTCCCAAAAATTCCAATAAAATTGTCAAAAAATTTCTTTGAAAATCCCTGGAAATCCTCCCGAAATTAAAGGAAAAATCACAGAAAATTCACAGAAAATTCACCAAAAAAATCACCAGAAATAGCCCAAAAACACCCAAAATATTCCCAAAAAAATTCCCAAAAAATTCCCAAAAAAATTCCCCCCAAAAAATCTCAAAAATTCAAAAAAAACCCCCAAAAAATTCCCAAAAAATTACCAAAAATCC